GTGTTTTAGACAAACAAGATATGACCTCTATGATGTGATACCTGGACTAAGAAGATGTCTAGTATGCAAGTAACAGAATGGTTTTGTTAACATTCATTAAGGTAAGTCAAGCATTTTTTCTCAGTAGTTTACAAAAATTTAATAGATGTTTTCTTAGCCCTATTTTTCATATTTTTTCCAAATGTTTTTCTTACAAAATAGGCTTTTTTTATCCAAGCTTTTCACAAATGTTCAGTGGAAAGACTGCATGATGTCCAAATGCATGATGTACTGTCCAAGAAGTGCACATTAACCTTAATATGTTTGCTGATCATCCAGATTAACCAGATCTTGTAGGTTTGGCTTGGTGATGAAAATAGCTTAGGTATTGACCATTTAATTTTTCAGGGGTTGGGTTTTGGTGATTTTCTCTCGAACTGGGATGCATCTGTCTTTGTTTATCCCAGGATAATTTATTTTACTTTCAGCTAGTATATTGGGTATAAAAATTCTTTCTATAAATTGGAAGAAGAGTATTTTTCATTGTATTTAAGGATAAGATATTTTTTTCATATTCACAGAATACCAATCCTTCCCAAGAAAATGCATTGGTCACTCCTTTCAGCAATGCCTTGTTATCCATCTGTTTACAAGTTTGTTGTTGTTATTTCTAAACCACTGAGGGGATTGCTATGAATCTTTACACATAACATTCATCCCTTGGGTTTATTTGAGTGGCTTCTAAATGAAATTTATGACAGAAGAAATGGCAGTCATGAAAATCATTGCTGCTTCTCCTGAATAGATTGCTTTGATGGTATTATTGGCACTTTTAACTCATTATTGGCTGTATCATGCCAATGAAATGGGAGAAAAGACATAACAAGGCAACTGACCTGGACTGGTCTACTAGGCATGTATTGAACCAATACTCCTTGGATTATGAGGGAGATGCTATACCTACTGAGTTAACATGGCTCTCTCCTGATAACATGATTATATCAACATAGAGTTTTCATTGAAAGACTTGTGGTGCCTGGTTGGCTCAAAGTAAAAATGATGCTGATATGATGTTGGATACATCTGCCATGGCAGCTAGCTGGAAATACCCATTTGTGATACAACCATCAAGATTTTCCAGCTAGCTGCCATGGCTGTAATTCACATGAAAGTATGTAGTTGACCAAGGTGTTCACAAGTATACTTCTTCAGCATGTAAACAATATCATCAGAACCTACCCTTCATTTTTCAAGTTCCAAATTAAGCTGGCTATCTAGTTCATTTTCTCAGACATCATTGCATAACAACTTTGAATGATATCTGCAGCTTTCCATAGGAAAATTATTCCTTTCTCCTTCTTATATACAATATATTCCATTTTACCCACAAGTCCATCTCCATTTAATACTTAACTTTTTGTTTATTGTTTAATGTTCAGTTACAAATGTCATTCCTTTTAACAGACTTTGTGAAAACTACATAATCTTAACATGAGAAGTTTTGTTTGACAGGTTTTCTTGAAGAATGAACAGTAGATTCCATTCCAAAGGCAAAATAATGAACATAACTGCTTCCATCAGGAATGCCAGAATCTGGTATAACAAGTAGTGTGGTCACTGCCATATTAATAGTGCTTCACAGCAATATTTATGCTCAGAAAGATCTCTGCTTATTCAACAATAACTTCACTAGTCTCTAGTGAGTGCAAAGATATAAATACAAATAAAACTTATACCACCTTCAAACTCTCCATGAATTATTGCCAGCAGAAGAGTCAGCTTCCACAAGTTAATGTGGTGTACGTATTGCAGTGTCCAGCAAAGTCTGTATCTATAAGTACATACTCCACTTTCAGCAAAGTCTGTGTCTACAAGTATATACTTGACTGTCAGCAAAATCTGTATCTAAAAGTACATCCTCGACTGTCAGCAAAATCATTTTCTAAAGGTTCATGCTCCACTGTTGCAAAGTCTGTATCTAAAAGTACATACTCTAGTGTCAACAAAGTCTGTATCTAAAAGTACATACTCTACTGTCAGCAAAGTCTGTATCTAAAAGTACATACTCTAGTGTCAGCAAAGTCTGTATCTAAAAGTACATACTCCAGTGTCAACAAAGTCTGTATATAAAAGTACATGCTCTAGTGTCAGCAAAGTCTGTATCTAAAAGTACATACTCCACTGACAATTAAGTCTTTATTGACAAGTACATACTCCACTGTCAGAAAAGTTTGTATCAACAAGTACATACTTTAATGTCAGCAAAGTCTGTATCTAAAAGTACATACTCCAATGTCAGCAAAGTCTGTATCTAAAAGTATATACTCTAATGTCAGCAAAGTCTGAATCTAAAGGTACATACTCCAGTGTCAGCAAAGTCTGTATCTAAAAGTACACACTTCACTGTCAGCAAAGTCTTTATCTAAAAGTACATACTCCACTGTCAGCAAAGTCTGTATCTTAAAGTACATACTTCACTGTCAGCAAAGTCTATATCTAAAAGTACATACTTCACTGTCAGCAAAGTCTGTATCTAAAAGAACATACTCCATTGTCAGCAAAGTCTGTATCTTAAAGTACATACTTCACTGTCAGCAAAGTCTGTATCTAAAAGTACATACTCTGCTGTCATTAAAGTCTGTATCTAAAAGTACATACTCCATTGTCAGCAAAGTCTGTATCTAAAAGTACATACTCCATTGTCAGCAAAGTCTGAATCTAAAGGTACATACTCCAGTTTCAGCAAAGTCTGTATCTAAAAGTACACACTTCACTGTCAGCAAAGTCTGTATCTAAAAGTACATACTCCACTGTCAGCAAAGTCTGTATCTTAAAGTACATACTTCACTGTCAGCAAAGTCTGTATCTAAAAGTACATACTTCACTGTCAGCAAAGTCTGTATCTAAAAGTAAATACTCCATTGTCAGCAAAGTCTGTATCTTAAAGTACATACTTCACTGTCAGCAAAGTCTGTATCTAAAAGTACATACTCTGCTGTCATTAAAGTCTATATCTAAAAGTACATACTCCATTGTCAGCAAAGTCTGTATCTAAAACTCCAGTGCCAGCAAAGTCTATAGGTACAAGAACATACTCCACTGTCAGCAACTCCTGTATCCAATCTATATTTACAACTAATTGCTGTGTATATATGCCAATGTCCAGCATATGTTTACAGTTTGGAGTAATAACTAAATCATGAATATGGAAAATGGATATTGACTGAATTCTGATTTTACTTGATAATGGATTATAAAGAAGAACCTTCACATATAGCTGCACCATGACTCTTGCAAGAACAGAATAGTAACCTTCTCCATCCATCTGTACATCCAGCCATTATACCTTGGTTTGGTTTGGTGTTTAGAACATTTCAGTCACTGTGGTGGGGCATCCATATTTGACAAAGACATTTCATTTTGTGTGTATGTGTGTGCTAATAAAATATGAAAATGCAAGGTTGAACACAAGCTAAGTTTGTTGAGAAGTGTATTAGATTCTTCACAAAAACAGATATTTTAATTTTTATGTCCAAAATTTTAAGTGCAAGTCATTTTCTACAAGTTTTAAGGACTATACAGTTTATTTACAACTGTACAGTGTCACTTACTTGGATCACACACAGACCTCCAAGGCTACAAAATCCATTTTTGAGACCAAAGTGAATACAATTACACCACTCCCTTGATAACTCATGGACATTAGGGTCCAAAAACATTGACTGTGATATAAGCAAGGGTGCGAGTTATCGAGGGACCTATAACAAACAACAAAACTAACAAAGGGATTGACATATAGGCAAAAGGGGGTGGGGGTGATTTGGTATGTGACAATGTTGAATACTCAAATAATAATTGTGCTAAGATTAATTGTAAATAAATATCTCTTCATATTGATTACTTTGTTTAGTTTTTTCATCTTAGAGTAAAATTAATTTCAGGATAACTTACAGTATACTGAGGAGATCATCAAAACATTATTTTACATGGTTTCTGTTCACTTAGCACATGTACGACTTCACACGTTTTGTACTACATCACTAATTTTTGTTGTGAATGGTATACATTCTAGTTTTATTATTTGATTAAAAGTAGATGTTTTTTTAAATACAAAAAATTGACATATTTAAAAAAACAATGTTGATTGAACGATGTGTAAATTTATATTTTGCGATAGAAGTAAAATGGAAGAAAAAATAAATTCACAAGGATTAACCATTACCAACATGAATTTAATGGGTCTAAAATTTAAAACGACATAAATTAGAGCATAAGATGGATTCTATCTTTACGAGCAATAATCACCATTTTTGATAAAAATGAGCTATGTATCAAGTTCAATTTACCAATTTACCATTTCTTATCACGACTTTTTCATGTTCAACACATTTTAAAATATATTTTCTTTGGATAAAAGTTGGGAGCCATGCTGGACACAGCATTATCAGTGGGTTCGCGAGTTATCGAGGGAGTGGTGTATCTGGAATATAATATATTATATCCAAATAAAGACAACTGCAGCCACATTACATTCTATCTAAAATTTACACATTCCTTTTATAAAGAAGTCTCCCCCCTACAAGGAACTGACACTAGGGTCCAATTAGGATAAACCATTTCTGCTTTTTAACAGCTGACCTTTGAAACCATCCCTTATATTGTACAAATCTTTTAGTGAAAACTATGTTGATATAACCAGCAATTCTGGAGAAGTAGCTATAACAATACATTAAAGATGGCCACCACAGCAGCCATACTGAATGTAAGATCATCATTTTCATCCAAGACTAACCAAACAATAAGTTTTCCAGTAAGACCACTTTGTCAATAAGACTTTACAGTTAGAACCAGTAATGAGAACAAGAAATTTCAGATGGCTGCCATTGCCATATCTGCAGTATTCCCAGACGTTGTCGAGGGGTTCTTGTGACCCAAATATTATTTTGAGGTCCAAAGAGGTCAGTATACATGACCTCAAAAAAGCAAAATAGTCCAATTGAGAATAAGCAATCTATTCAATCCACTCTGGTGGCCTAGTGGTTTTAGCATCTGCCTCGGATGTGGGAGGTTGTGGGTTTGATCCCTGTCAGAGTCATATCAAAGACTTACAAAAATGGTACTATGAACTGCCTCACTTGGCACTGAGCATTAAGAGGTTAGTGTTGGGACTGGTTGGCCTGGTGTCAGGATATGGGATATCTTGCTACATGCCTGTGGCATGATGCACCAGTGCTAGACATGACTATAAACTGCCACACTGCAGGCATTATAGTGATATGAATGAGAAATTGTTAAAGCTACATTAAAAATTTAAATCACAGTCACACACAATCTTTTCAAACAAGCCTATAACAAAAAGATTGGAAATTCAAACCTGAATGAAAGCCTTAAAATATGCTTATAAAGCTAAAAATAGACTTAGCATTGTCAAATATCATAACCAGACACATGCATAATGTACAACATATTATATAATCACAACCACACTGAAATAAAATGATAAAATACACAAAGTTTCTCTTTAAAATCCATTGGATGGGAAATTATAATCTTAGTTAAGTCTTTATTACTTTAATAGTTCCATGGGGGGTTGGAAGGTATTATAAGTACCATTTGTTTTCATCTTTACACTCACTGTTTACGGACTGGAAGGTACTGTTTTTTAAATTGGACTGTTGGATTGTTTCAGCAAATCCTGGTTAGAACTGAGTTGTTCTTGACAGCCATAACATAAGCAGTCTGAAGTGCATCCAGAACAGTGTGCTGCACTTGTTTCTATAGAAGAATAATTATACTCCAGTAACATCACATTTGGGGCTGACCACTTCTTTGTGGAAGGAGGGGGAAGGAGACAATATTTTTGAAGTTTAATGGGGGGAGGGGCCTTACAAACAATATAGCATTAATAAATGTTTCTATCCAGTGGAAGTCTTAATGCTTTATCAACACAAATCAACTGTACAAACATTAGTGTTTGCTTATTATCATCTTTCAATTAGTTTCTTAGTAAATATTAACATGAAAATCATGGGTCAATTAAAAGTTGATACTGTAACAAGAATAAGATAATTAATAACAATAAAGAGATCTAATCTGAGTGCTCAAATTCAGCATGTCAAATATATATTGGTTTGTACAAATCTTACATACATATAGATGGTGCTGACAATTTGAAGGACTTTGTATACTCCAGAATGACTTAAGACAATATGTTGTTTCTAGTGTATGCAAATAATGAAATGCTTCCCTTTGCTAATGAAATGTTTCTCCTTGTTGTTGTGCTGGGCTTTGTTTACTTTACCCATACCTTTCTGCTTCCTGAATCACAGGAATGCATTCTGACATTTTACCTTCAATGATGGCTCACACTGGAATGCTATTCCAACGACCGTAATAATCATACTTTGCTTTAAATATATGGAGTAAAATCCAACTTAAAAAAGAATTGCTGCTGCTGTTCAAGAATTTGTCAGTAATGTTTAATACAGATGGCTTAAAAATTATCCTTCAATGAAATGAAGTGTAATAGCTTTGATTCTTCAACTGCATATCTATTTCATTTACTTACAACTTAAAATGCATTGGGTTGTTCCCCTTTGTGAACTTTACCTATGCAAATTAGCATTATGGGCTCCCCACAGCAGTCTTCAAAAAACTTAACATTTCACCCTAGCTAATTAAGTAATATGTGAAATGGTAATTGTTTATACCTGATCACCTTTCCTTTTATATGTAAGTGGTTTTATGACAATCAGTTATATAAACTGCCCCAAAGATGGTTTTACATGAGCTCTAATCAGGAATCTTTACCAATAACATGTACTATATATTACAGGCATATACATGTACTGAGGTGCTGTATTGTTTTTTTTAAGATTACTGAAAATCATAATGTTTTAAACATGACCATGTAGTGGGTTTGGTTGTAAAATATGTTTTTAATGTGATACTTGTTACTGCAGATATTAGATATTATTTAATGTGATACTTGTTACTGCCATATTAGAGGTCAAATCAGCATGGTTTTAATTAATGACCAACAAGATATCCTATTTATTCTGGTGGAAACTACAAATTTAAATGACTTTCTGCTGAAGAATAGGATTCATAACATAATATACTCAAAACTTGCCATGGTGGCCATACTGAACATCAGATCAGCAACCGTTTCATTTCATAAAAAATAAAAATAAAAAAAATATTTACAAGATAGCCAGTGTGGTGACAATAATTTCCTAGTAAATAGTGTTTTTATTTAGGGCCAATAAGGCATTAAAAGTCATCACATAAAAACAGTGTCACTAACTTTCATTCAATATAATTTATAAAAATGTCCAGTTGGCTGATGTGTGTGGCCATGTTGGATTTCAAATCTGCACAGCATTCATTCTTGCCCAACTAAATCTTAAGGCAAGTTCTTTAGTAAAACCTATGTCTTAGTTCAGATATAGCTATAACAGTATTTTAAGAAGGCCACTATTAAGAATTTGGGATCAAAATGTGTTCTGGCTTTTGTTGGTTATCAATGTTTAGGGGAAGATGGACCAAATGTGATTGAGTGAATATGAAACCTTGCATCCAAAATAAATAATGCGATATTTGTCTACATACACCTATGCTTTTTGCCTTCTATAGACAGTAAACACAGTGTCTTTTTTCAACAGAACCATTACTAATTGATTGAGAGCATATCAGTCTACTCCCACCTAATGACAATTAATCCCCTGCAGTATGTGCTAGTAATCACTATCATGTTCTAAATGTCTGACATGTGCCCACATGTGTTTGATCAGTAAACAACTGACAGTCCACAACAATGCTTAAATGTTGATACATTTACAACCAATTCATATGTTAAATAACTTCATGTCATTTAAAGAAATAGAACAATGATACTTCACTTCTTAGATTATACCACACCATTGCTAACTAACAATTCCGTGGCAGAAAACATCCTGAATTTGTAGTATTCCTATGTCATTTAAGACAATCAGTTGAAACTCTTAAGACCTGTATAGAAGAAAATTCATGTAAGAAATTAAGATACATTACTCTTTCAGTATGGAGAACTTCTCCCTTTTAGCAGGATTATCTCCTTACACCCTGATTATGTTTCTCATAGACTCTCAAAATGACCACCTTTATGAGGGTCTCACCTCACCAGGGGTCAAGACCTTTTTCTCATGCAGAGACTAGTGTCAAAACATGAGTCTTTACCTTGGAAATACACCCCAAACCTTTAACTGTCCAGTCAGATATCTAGTTTATCTAACCACTTCACCAGGGTTTTGAAAATTCTTCATTTCCCACTCCACTTAATATACAATGTCAACAAAATTTTAATGTCTTACATATATTTCAAAAAGTACAAATGCTGTTTCTGCAATATTTCAATTCTTGGCCATTTCAATAAACAAAACCCAATCTTTGCTGTCCAGTTCCACCAGACATAGTTATCAAATGGAACCTCAATAATAATCAATCAAATCTCAACCACAGCATTAAAGTACTAGCATTGATGTAAGTTTGTAATTATTTGTTGAATTTATTCATTTTAAATTCATACTTTAATTTTCCTTAAGTTCAGACATTAATTGCTTGTATGCATTTTGTGTCAAATGCTATATGACTAATATATTATATGAGTTAGTTTGGATTTAGTTATTTTGTATGTGATAGAAATCTTGTATCGTAGAGATATCTTGCTCTGTATAAAGTATGCTAAGAACTGATTTTTCTATGTTGGGGAAATGTATGTCAAGTGAAGTCCATTAATTTATATGTAATTAATTTGTGAATTCTTTTAAACCAAGAATAAAGTAGTGTGTGTCAACATGCATAGTTCAGCTGGTAATTCATAGCCACAATGAGGGATTAATGGTACCTGAGAGGACTAATTACATCATAGTCTCAGTAGGAATCTGAGAGCCACTAGCAAAGAGATAAATTCACGTTAATATGATTGTGTATCAGAATTAATTTTTCAACTGACTATAGCTTAGTTCTTTTAATTTTCGATAGATGACATCTGATGCAGAAGCAAGTGGGAATTGTGTTTGATCCCAGTAGAATAAAAACCCAAAACATTAAGGTTGGGTATCAAATTTGTTTGTTTGAAGGAAAATTGCTCCCTATCTGAATGCACAGTGGAAAGAGAGCAGTCTACAGCCAGGATGGTTGATGACTTGAAGTGGCAACAGGGAAGGAAAAGAAATAGGAAATGCCAGCCTATCACCAGCAGTGATTTGGAAAAGACCAGAAGTACCAGGTGATGCTGACATGTCAGTAATTTGATTTAAATCAATCACTTGGTTATATGATGAAATTAGTTCTGTCTGTATAACAGGTGAATTTCACATAAATTTTATTGTAAGTAATTTATTCAGATGTCTTGTTCGATTTCATTTTGTCTATGCGATTAATTGTTATATTTTACATATGGGGGCTCATGTTGCTCTGTTCTATATCTCTGACAAAATCTTTGTTATACGAATCTCTTATTTTCATATTTTGTTATTCATTATTTGGTCTGGGCAGTAACATTTTGGTTGATCATCTCCAACATAATGATAACAAAAACATTATAAGAAGTAGGGATCTTGCATCTCCCACATCTAACAGTATGAAAATAAAGAAAAGTTGTGGTTGATATATGCGAACAGATTAAATAGCAAGGAAGAAATTGCCTCAGCTGTAATTCTATATCTTTTTTGTTTTGTACTAGAAATCCTTTTTCTGTTCTTGCACACTGTGTTCCACATGTGAAGATGATCTGTCATTGTGTGCTAATTAGCTTGCACCTAAATAACTTAACTATGTGGACAACCCAAAAAGTCCTAGTAATCTTATGACTCTTGTAATGTAATAGGAAATGATTTGCAAAGTTTTTCAGGTGTAATTAATTATAGCGATAGTACATGTAATAATAATCGTGTAACCCAAAACCACATACAAAAGATGATGTATCACTAGTTATACATGAACATGCCTGTATAATGTCCAATAATGATGTACCAAAATGCACTTGTGTTAGTTTCAGATAGTAATTGAAGTTCACATGAAGCTGAGTGCTGACACTAGTATTGATGCTGAAAC